CCCCTGGCCTTGCGGCGGCCGTAACCGCTCTGGCAGAGGCTGAATTTGGGGGTTTGTGTGACCCCTCAGGCGGCTTCATCCCCTCTTGGCTCCGGCTGCTTGTGCAGAGCCGGCACTGGGGCAAGGAGTGGGGCTGGGGGTGCTGGGGATGGACTGGGAGATGCTGGGGATGGACTGGAGGGGTGCTGGGCGTGGACTGGGGCATTCCAGGAAGGGCTGGGAATGCTGTGGACTGGGAGGGTGCTGGGGAGAAACTGGGGTGTGCTGGGATGGACTGGGGTGTGCTGGGGGTGGACTGGGGGGTGCTGGGGATGGACTGGGGTGTGCTGGGGATGGAATGGAGGGCTGCTGGGGGTAGACTGTGGCATGCCAGGAAGGGCTGGGGGCTGCTAAAAGTGGACTGGGGAGGGTGCTGGGGAGAAACTGGGAGATGCTGGGGATGGACTGGGAGATGCTGGGGATGGACTGGGAGATGCCAGGCATGGACTGGAGGGCTGCTGGGGATGGACTGGGAGATGCTGGGGGTGGACTGGGAGATGCTGGGGACGGACTGGAGGGCTGCTGGGGATGGAGTGGAGGGGTGCTGGGCGTGGACTGGGGCATGCCAGGAAGGGCTGGGGGCTGCTCACGGTGGACTGGGAGGGTGCTGGGGAGAAACTAGGGCGTGCTGGGGATGAGCTGGATTGTGCCTGGAGGGGCTGGGGGATTCCTTGGATGGGAGCAAGATGCCGGGCTGGAACAGGGAGAGCAGCTCTGCTGGAGCCAGACACGTTTCCCAGCATCGGTCGCATCCAAACTGGTTCCTCTTGACGCCGTAATGGGTTGCTCTGGGGCTGTGGTTTCGGAAGCACCTTGGTGATTTGGGCTCCAAAGTCCCACGTGCTCTGAGCTCAGCAAACTGGGAGCCAGGGCTCCTGGATCCCGGAGGGGTTGGTGAGCAGTTCTCCCTGGGGATGGGCAGCCAAGGCGAGGGGGAGGACGGGCACCCACAGCCGCCCGCGAGCAGGATGCCATTGGGAGCAGGGGAGGGAGAAGAAAGCGCGAACCAAACGAGGTTCGTTGAAGAGGAAGGGCTGAGCGGAGAGGCTCAGGGCTGAGCCCGCTGAAGATGCCTCGCCAGGGTCCTCAGGGAGACGCTGCCATCCCGCCCCCAGAAAAGGCAGCAGGATAATATTTCTCCATCCCCCCTTGGTGCCCGGGGGAAATCCTGGGTACCAGGGAGGTGGCACTGGGGCACTGGGGTGTCCTTGAACATCTCTGAGTCCCAGCAAGGGCTCAGCACCCAGAAAATACCCCCCCAAGGCAGGATGGAGCCCGGAGCTTGCAGGAGAGTCGCCATCTCCCCGACTGCTCCCTGCAGGGCGTACGTTTTGCCGTCAAGCATCGCTTGCTCCGTGTTCGCAGGATGGCTCGAAAAACCATAGAAGCTCCTGTAAAACCCTGTTAACTTTAGGCTGAGACTTCAGAAACGGAACGAATATAATGGGATTTTTTCCCGGTGGCATTAGCAGCGTGCGGCTGTAAAGCGATGTCCGTGGAGGAGGATGATGTGATTTTTCAGTCTTGACACGTAACGCGGCCGTGCGGAGCGGCTTGGACTGGGCTTGCGCTGGGTTTGGAGGCGCCGCTCGGTTCTCGCACTCCTGGATATGATTTGTGGGTTCTGGAGTGCTGCCGGTGCGGGCGAGTACAGAGACGAGGGGAATTAGTTGTGTTGTTTTGGTACTTTCTGGAAGATTAATAACAAGCAGCAGGTGGGATGGCAGGACGTGAGCAGATCCGCGATGCCAGCAGGACCGTGAGTACGTACAGGAGCAGGATCCATCCCTGCCAAACCGCGTCCAATGGATGGGTCCAGGGTGCTGCCCCGGTGCCTCTGCGGGGCCGGGGTCTTTGCCCCGGCTTCCAGCAGCATCGCTTGGAGGGTCC